GCTGAAGCAGGAGGATTGCAGCAAGTTCAAGGCAGGCAGGCCAGGCCTACATAAAGAGTTCCAGGCCAGTCTGAACTATATATATATAGCAAGACTCTGTCTGAAAAAAAAACAAAACTAAGCAAACAAACAAACAAAAACAAATTAACTTTTACACTCAATAAACAAAACTTAACTCAAACTGGACTGATGACCTAAATGTAAGAGATATAACTAAGTTTTAACTTCTAGAAGAAAATCTTCTGGTGCATGCTTATAGTCGCAGCCACTCTGGAAAGTGAGGAAGGCGGCTTACTTAAGCCTTGGGCAACACACCAAGACACTAGCTCAAAAGAGAAAATCTTACTGACCATAGGTTATGCAAACTAATTTTGCAATGGCATTAACAGGACAAAAACATTTTAAAAAATAGTAAGTTAGACTACATCAAAATTGAAAGCTTTTATATTTTCTAGGGTACCACTAAGAAGTCACAGACTGGGAGACAGTATATGCAAAACAAAAAAGATTTGCAACACAAATATGTAACTGTCACAACAAAATAATAGAATATGAACTTAATAGTAAGAAATCAATAACCTAATCTAAAAATTAAAAATAAGCTGAACAGACATTTACCAGAGGGATGATACCTATGGCTAATAAGCAAAAAAGTGCTCAGCATCATCAGTAATAGGGAAATACAAACTGAAACCAGAGTAGGAAACTACTGCACACCTACTAGAATGGTTACAGCAAACAGACAAAAAATAAAAAATGTTAGTAAGGATTCAGAAAAACTGGAACCCATTGATACTGCTGGTGGAAATGTGAAATGGTATAAAGATAAAAATTAAAACTGCCACCTGGTCTTGACTCAGTTTAGTCTTGATTGTTGCCTGCTAGCAGACAACAAGCAAACAGGTAAATGCTCATTCCTTGCATCCTAAAACAACAGAACATCATCAGAAGCCTCTATATTTTTTACCCATAAACTTCCAAATATAATTAAGATGTGTTATATATGCTAAAAGACAGCAACATATGACTGAAAACGAAGACAAAAAAAACAAACAAAAAACAGGCAGTCTAGACAGATCCACAGAATGATGTAGATCCTGAAGGGTGTATTAAAAAACATTAATAAGAGAATTTTGTCAGAGAATAGACTAAAAAAAATTCAACACACACTGTAAAACTAAAAGAAACTACTGAAATTAAGAATTCAATGCATAGGGCTGGGGATTTGGCTCAGTGGTTCGGCTGTCTGCCTTGCAAGCACAAGGACCCAAGTTTGATTCCTGGTACCACCATAAAAAAAAAAAAAAAA